AATGTTATTACTGACAAGTACATGTTTGTTGTCATATTTTTCCTTAGTATTAATGTTTCTTCTTGCCTTTCTCTTTCTTCTTTTTACAGCAGTTCTTTGCATTGCTGGCTTGGTGGAGATAAACTCTCTTAGCCCTTTTTTGTCTGTGAAGCTCTTGATTCCACCTTCAATTTTGAATGATAGCCTTGCTGGGCATAGTTTTATTGAATTCAGTCCCTGGCTTTGCATCACTTTGTATATTTCATTCCATTCCCTTCTGGCCTGTTCTGTTTTTGTTGAGAAATCAGTTGCTATTCTAATAGGAGATTCCTTGTATGTAACTTTCTGTCTCTCTCTGGCAGCTTTTAAGATTCTTACTTTGTCATTGGTGTTCGCCAATTTAATTATGATGTGCCAGAATTTATAGTTGTTCTCAGTCTGATGTAAGCTACTTCATCATGGCTAGAAGCAGAAAGCAGTCTTAAAATTTTTAAAATGTTGTCAATTTTAGTAAACCAGTTGTTTTTAAATCAATGTCTTAACTTTGTCTCTTATCTTGACATATGCCCCTAGGATGGTGACCTTTTGCTTTAGTAAACCAATCCTCATTCTTGGGGAGGGTTATTGATTGACCCCTCCGCTCTTAAAAAAAACTAGTAACTCATCAATACATACTTTCCAGAAGAAGGAGCATGATTTAAATGGCAGAAAACACAAATATAACTATTTACAGTGTTCTGAATTGTTTATAAGAGAGAATCATATATGAGTTAACAATGAAAGACCAAAAACCATAATGCCATTGAATGCATGGCTGTGCTAAAATGAGGGTGCAAGCCTTTCATCAGCAGTAGATAGATAAGGACAAATACACTTTTACTAGTGGGGTGAACAAAGCTTTCTGACACTGTCCCAATTGCATTCTCTTAGTATATGAAAGCAAACAGATTACTAAGAAAAAACAAAACAAAAACCCGAAGTCTAGATACTAAGAATTTTGACAGAACCTTGGGGGAGGGGGGGCATAAAAGCAGCAATTTAAATAGTTTCCTGTGGGATTTATGACCCATTCTGGGGTCTAAAAAAGAACTTTCAAAAACAAGTTGCAAATAAATTTTTAGCATACCTGTCATTCAAACCTTGTAATGCATTTTTGTTTGCCATATTGTATAATTATATTTATAGACTTGGTTAGTCGTACAAGATTATTATTGAGTTTTGACCTTGAATACTCTGCCATGCAATAATGTGATAATGACATTTCCTAATATGTCTATATTCATGAGAGTTTATAAATAAAATAGATTTTTCACAGACTAAATACCACCAGTTCACTTCATAAAGTTTTATTTGGAATGTAGGTTTGAAAGAAGCAAAATTAATCCTTCCTGCTATCAAGACTTGCAGTATGTAACTGAAAAGATTAACACAATCACATTTTACCTTGTTGGTCTTATATCTTTCCTTTCTATCTGCTACAATTACAAATGCTCACTTATTAAACTTTTCATTTGTCTTTCTCAAATAATAACTTCCTGACTGAAAATTATTTAGTTAGACTAACTGAACAAAACTATGTATTACTGTTTTGTTTTGTTTTAGTAGTTTTTTTGCACATGGCTGGAAAATAATTTGAACACAACTTGAATTTATTTTGTAGCCTCTCTCCATATATTTCTTTATTCTTTTCTCTTTCTTTATATATTTGTATTAATTGCAAAGGCTAGTACAGAAATTAGACTAGATTGACCCCAAATCTATTGCCAAATTCAGAGAGTTGAATCCTATTTTAGAATTAGTCTTATATAGAGACATTGTTGTAAATTTCCTGACATCATTGTCACAGTCATCACCTACTTGCTGAAAGCAACCTACTGGAACACATTTAGAACAAAGTAGTGAAATAATAAGTTAACTTGGCCCAATATATGAAGAACACATTCATAGACTGGATCTGTCTAGTCTAGACAAAAGACTAAAGCTAGAGGTAGGAACACAATAATTATCTTTAAATATTTTAAGAGCTGTCATGTTGAAAAAGGATTAAACTAATTGAAGAAGGCGAGAGAGTATAAATAGGATAAACCATAAAAAGCAAAAAGAAGAAAGATTTCAGCCCTAACTGGCTTGGCTCAGTGGATAGAGCGTTGGCCTGTGGACTCAAAGGCCCAAGGTTTGATTCCAGTCAAGGGCATGTACCTTGGTTGCGGGCACATCCCCAGTAGGGGGTTTGCAGGAGGCAGCTGATTAATGTTTCTAACTCTCTATCCCTCTCCCTTCCTCTTTATAAAGAAATAATATATTTTAAAAAAAGAAAGATTTCAACTAAATATAAGGATTAATATTCTAATTGCCACTGGAAAACAACAGCAATATGTGTTTTATTTATGAGGAAAAAAAGCCCTTAAATCTCAGAGTTGCTTAGTTTTTACTTAAATTAGTTAAAGAAATATTGAAAGTATATTTTTATAGTTTTCAGAGTAGAATAAAGAGGGAGAGGGAGAAACATCAATGATGAGAACAATTGGTTAGCTGCCTTCTACACACCCACTATTTGGAATCAAGCCTGCACCCTAAGCATGCGCTCTGACTGAGAATCAAACTATGACCTCCTGGTTCTTAGGTTGATGCTCAACCACTAAGCAACACCAATGAGGCATTTTTTTTGAAACAGTTATTTAAGAACTAATTATTAAAAGTTAATTAAGTGATATATTTAAAGTCGTGAGAGACTATAGCAGTTAATCTAAAACTATTTACATAGAGATAACATTTTCTAAAAATAAAGGTTAATTACCTTTCTCATTTATCAATGCATTTTTATTTTTTTCAAATTAATCATTTTAGAAATTTTGAATTATATGTAATGTATAAAGAGGCAGAAGTAAATACTTATGATTCTATTAGCATGTTTCCCTCAAGGTTTTTAAGTTTGGGTTTATATCTTTTTAAAATTTATACATATAAAATGTCAAAAAGTTTCCAATGGTTTGCTACAAAAATAAATCTATACTCCTCCTTTCTTTCTCATTTCTTCTTCTCATGTCTTTGGACTAATACTTTATTTTTTATTGAACTTGTTAGCATGGCATTGGTTAATATCTACATATATAAAAGGCTAAATGTCCATCCATCCGACTGGTAGCAATGACGAGCTCTGACCACCAGGGGTCAGATGCTCAACACAGGAGCTGCCATGACATGCACTGGCCATTTTAAAATATATGACACCATGGACCTGGCACTGACAAACCAACACTTGGATTTTCCCAAGTGAGTCACAGGCCCTGCCACCACCCCACAGCAACACCCCATCAAATTGCGGTCAATGTTGCCAAGACCCCATGGGGCAAAATGTGGTCCAGCCCAGCCCAGCCCAGCCCAGAAATGGTGGCTGTGGGCACCAGGTAATAACATTGCACAGCAATGCCTGGCTTCCTATCCCTATTGACTAGCCTTCTTGGAGTTTCTTCAGCCCAGGAACCCAGCTTACTTTATAGCCAGGTGCAAACAGTCTTACCCTGGTGCCAATTGCATGCATATGTTTTGATCTGTCATTGTCAATCGTGAATTTGGTTGACACTTCTATTATAGAGAAAGGGCGAATAGCAATATTAAAGTATTTCTTCTAAATAATTTTCTTTCAATGTGCATGAATCCATACACCAGGACACTAGTAAAATTGTATGGTTTCAGGTGTATTACATTTCAGTAACCTCTTTTAGAAAAAATGAAATAAACATTTGAAGACAAACAAATATGGAAGAATTTGATTCCTGTATAAGACACACAATGAAAGATTTATGAAGGGGAGTTCTTCAGGCAGTAGGACAATAATCCCAGATAGAAGGATGGGAAGGCAGAAGGAATCATAATAATAAAAGGCTAATATGCAAATTTTCATCACACCATGATGTGTAACAACCAATCAGCACGGACCTGTGGCTGCGTGGCACCTGGCCTGGGTGGGTACCTCAGGTAACACTCCCCCATCCAGCAGGGCTTGATGGGGGACCTCAGGCCACACTCCCCACCCTGGTGCTGGACTGTGGGACTTCAGGCCGTGACCCCTTCCCTGGCACCAGTCCGGGGGACCTGAGGTTGTGACAGGAGCCTGAGGCTGCACCACCCCACCTGGCGGGGCTTGACAGGGAACCCAAAGCTGTACTCCCTGCCCAGCAGGGCTTGATGGGGGATCTGCGGCTGCTTCCCCCACCTGGCAGGGCTTGACAGGGGACCTGAGGCTGCACCCCCTTCCTGGAAGGACTTGATAGGGGTGGAGCCAGCCAGGTCTGGGTCTCACACAATGTGTGTGGGGGGGCAGTCGGATTTGGGTCTCCTGTGATTTTGAAGTACACGTGGGTGGCAGAGACTTGACTCTGGGTCCTTGGCACTCCCCAGACTCTGACAGTAGGGAGATTTTCATATACAATTTACTAATTTTCTTTTGTCTCTGACACTTCTATTATAGAGAAAGGGCAAATAGCAATATTAAAAATATTTCCTCTAATTAATTTCCTTTTCATGTGTATGAATTTCATGCACCAGGACACTAGTGAAGAACATAAGAAAGGATAAATATGTGAGAAAATATTTAGGAATATTATTAATATAAATGAATACTGATTAGTTAAAACATAATATCTTATGAGGTTTAAAAATAGGTGGGTAGAAAATGAATAACAACAATAGCATAAATGACATGAAGAAAATAAGGGTTAAGGTAGTGTAAGGTTTTTATAACATCTAGGAAGTGGTGAAAAGTGTTAATTTAATAGGCTGAGAATGAGTGCATTCTATAATTACTAGGGTGATTACTGAAAAATTCTAACTACTAAGTAAAAGAATGAACAACCACAAGTTGAAAGAGTCAAAATTATAAACAGTAAAAATAAAAGCACACTTAATTTCTCTGAAAGAAAAAAAAAAGGAAGGAAGCCGGGACCGGTTTAGCTCAATGGATAGAGCGTCGGCTTGGGGACTGAAAGGTCCCGGGTTCGATTCCGGTCAAGGGCATGTACCTTGGTTGTGGGCATATCCCCAGTAGGGGGTGTGCAAGAGGCAGCTGATCGATGACTCTCTCTCATCGATGTTTCTAGCTCTCTATCTCTCTCTCTTCCTCTCTGTATAAAATCAATAAAATATATTTTTTTAAAAAAAGGAAGGAAGATGGTGATAAAAACAGATGGGACAAGTAGATACTTGATTTAAAACAAAATATATAATAAATGCATTACATATAAGTAGACTAATTGTTCCATATAAATGACAAAGATTATTAAAGTGGATTAAAAAATAAACTACATATTCTTTATAATAGACACAACTTAAATAGAATAAAAAATGATTTAAAAGTCCAGGAAAAAATGTACCATGCAAATGGTAGCCAAAAGAAAGCTTATAAATTTTACTAATATTAGACCAAGCCAATTCTAAGGCAAGATGTATTACCACTTAAGATAAAGGGATGATTCATCCTATTTAATAAAGAGATAATATGCAAATTGACTATCACTTGATGGCCACCCCCATGTGGACATACGATGGCTACCACAAGATGGCCAGCAGGGGAAGGCAGTTGCGGGCAATCAGGCCAGTGGGGGAGGGAAGTTAGGGGTTACTGGACCTGCAGAGGAGGGCAGTTGGTGGGGGACCAGGCCTGCAGGAGAGGGCAGCTTGGGGCGACCAGGCAGGCAGGCAGAAGCGGTTAAGAGCAATCAGGCAGGCAGGTGAGTGGTTGGGAGGCAGCAGTCCTGGATTGTGAGAGGGATGTTTGACTGCCCCTTTTGGCCTAATGATTGGAGAGCGCACAGTCTGGGCTGAAGGATACCCCCCTCCTCTGTGTAATAGTTTTGTGCACCAGGCCTCTAGTAATGATTATAAATGGTCAACCCAGGAAGAAGAAAAAAGTGAGTATTTTCATTAATCTAATAGCCTCAATACGTATAAAGCAAACATTTGCATAACTAAATAATAATAATAATTTAAACTGAGGTAATTCAAAGAAAATGGTAAAAGCAGCAGAAAAATCAGTAAGAATATAACACCTGAGAGGAAAAGTGGCAGCTTGAACTAATTGGCACATATAGTAAACTGCCAAATGACTACAGAATGTACCTCTTTTTATCAAATACTCATTAATATTTCCTGAAATAGATATTATCTTTGTTCATAAGGGAAATCTTGATGACTTTCTAAGGACTGAATTCATATGCATGTTCTTTAGAGCAGTGGATTCAAGGTAGAAAATCTCCAAAGTGAAACATTTTAAAACAAAGTTATAAAATAAACTTCCAATGAGGCTAAAACTTTTAAAAGGCAATACTTATAAGGAAATTTATAGCCTTAAAGATGGATCTATTAGCAAAGAATAAATTATAAAATCTATATCAAGATGCTCAAAACAAGTAAACATAAGGACATTTATAAAAGACTAGAGGCCTGGTGCATGAAATTCATATACTTGGGAGGCGGGTCCCTCAGCCCTATCATAGTCTGGGAGCCCTTGAGGGTTGTTCAACTGATGGCTTAGGCCCACTCTTTGCTGTGTTCGCCAGGCATGAGCCCAGCTCAGGGCTTCTGGCTGAGCAGCGCCCCCCTGTGGAAGTGCACTGACCACCAGGGGCAGCTCCTACATTTGAGCATCATAGCAATTGGTCTTTCTGCTGTTTGGTTGATTTGCATACTAGCCTTTTATTATATCAGATAAGAGCTGAAGTAAATAAAATAACAAAATAAACATAATAAAGGAAGCCAATGAAGCTAAAAGTTTATTATCTGAAAAGGCTAATAAATTGAAAAACAAACAAACAAAAAAACAACAACTACCAATTCTGATTTAAAAGAAAAGGAGGGGAGTATATTTTACCAATAAGAATGTACTAGCTCAGGCTAATGTTGCTCAGTGGGTTGCATGTCATCCTATGCACCCAAAGGTTGCTGGTTTTCATCCCAGTCAGAGGATGTGCACAGTTTACAAGCTCAATTCCCCATAGGGAGCATTCAAGAGGCAGATATTAAATGTTTTTCTCACTTCCTCTCTCTAAAAATCAATAAAAATTGTTTTAAAAAGAATATTTCTCATAGATTATTTAAAAATTATTGAAACATTATGAAATACTCTATGCCAAGATTTTAAAATGTATATGTTTATAAAACATACCCTAACAAAACTCTAAGAAGAAATTTAAAAATTGAATTTTTGTATACTTATTTTAAAATGCTAAGTTATAGTTTGAAACCTTTCTTAAAAAAATAACAAAACAAAAAACAGATCTAGGTTGAATTTTTCTGAGTCTTTAAAGAAGACATAATATCACTCTTGCCCTGGCTGATGTGGCTCAGTTGTTTGTGGCATGGCTCAGTACACTAAAATGTCCAAGTTCTATTCTGGTCAGGGCATGTGTCTAGTTTGTAGGTTTGGTCCTGGTTGGGGAGTGTTTGGAAAACAGCCAGTCAATGCTTCTCATGTCAATCTCTCTCTCTCTTTCAAATAAATAAATAAATAAATAAATAAATAAATAAATAAATAAATAAGTAATCATGTCCTCAGGTGAGTATTGAATAAAAAAACAAATGAAAAAATATAGTAATATCACTGTTACATAATCTCATAAAACCAAAAAAGAAGAAACATTTCACAATTTCTTTTTTGCTGTTTGCATAACCTTGACATGAAAAGCTAATAAGAACATTAATATAAGAAAATAATGGAAGCCATTTCTGGTGGAGGCTCCTAGGGTGTGCTGGCACCTGGCTCTTTTCTTCTTTATGTCACCTGGAAGTTAATTGAAGTTGCAACATACACTCATGAATACTGACTATGAGCTCATTAATTTAGAATTTAGATATTAAATTGTGCCACTTTGGAGGATCTGCAGGTTCATCCTTCGGAGGAGGCTGTGGAGGAGTGGCAGTGACACACACAGGTGTGCACCACAGACAGGTATGCACCACCCCACTGCTGGGACCCAATGTTCCTGGACACATGGGACTGATGCCTCACCTGGAATGCCTGGATGGGTGTTCTAAAATGACCTGACCTACCACCTTGCTGTTGCATGTCTGGCCTGCCCTGTCACCTTCACAGGTGGTGCAATCCAATTTATGGCACTGCCTCTGTGTCAAAGTGTACCTGCCATGGAGTCCCCAGATGACTGGCCTGCCTCCTTGTGCCTTGCCCCACAGCCATGACCTGACACCCCCAGATACAGGGATCTGGCTCTGGGATCAGGTGCACCTGATAGGGTGTATTGGGAAGGCCAGAACCCCGTTGTGGCCTGATGCCCCCAGACACACAGAACTGGGATCATGACCTGATGTGCCTAACCCAGTGCCACCAGAAGATCAGACATACTGCTGCCACCCACCATGATCACGTGCCCTAGGATGGATAGACCAAACTTCAAGATTCACATGCTTCATGCTTTATACATTGCCACAGACTATTAGACCACTAGAATGAGAAGATAAAGGAACATCCTCCAAATAAAAGAAGAGGAAGAATTGCCAGAAAGGAAATTAAATTAAATTAAATAGAAGAAATGTGTCAAGCAAATAATTTAAAGTAATGGTTATAAAGGTGCTGAAACAACTTAATGAGAACTACAAGCAACTTAATGAAAACTTAATGAAAACTATAGGAACTTAGTGAGAACTACAGCCTGAAAATAAAGAGGTAGAAATAATGAATAAGAATCAAAAGTAAACAAAGAATGACAAAACTGCAATAAAGAATACTTTGAGTCCTAGCTGGTTTGGCTTAATGGATAGAGCTTTAGATTGTAGACTGAAGGAATTCAGGTTCAATTCATCAAGGGCACATGCCTGGGTTGCCAGTTCAATCCTCAGTTGGGGGCATACAGGAGGCAGTCAATCAATGATTCTCTCTCATCATTCATGTTTCTATCTCTTTCTCTCTGTTCCATCTGAAATCAATAAAATATATATTTTTAAAGAAAGAATACCTTGAAATATAGCAACAATAGATTAGAAGAAGTAGAGGGATGAATCAGTGAATTAGAAGTCAAGGTATAACAAAAAAACACAATAAAAAACATTGTAAAAAAAATTAAAAAGCATGAGGAGAGTCATGTGCCGAAAGAACTTCATCACTGATAGTGCCCCTAGGGCAATGGAAGCTAAAGAGAAAATAAACAAATGGGACTACATCAAAATAAAAAGCTTTTTTATAGCAAAAGAAACTATGAACACAACAATAAGAAAGACCACTGTATGGGAGAACATATTTGCAAATGTTATCACTGATAAAGGTTTAATCTCCAACATCTACAGCTTATACAACTTAATAAAAGGAAGATAAACGATCCAATTAAAAAATGGGCAATGGATCTAAATAGAATATTTTCAAAAGAAGACAGAAGGAAGGCCAAGAGACACATGAAAACATGCTCAAAGTCACTAATTATTTGAAAGATGCAAATCAAAATGACAATGCAGTACCATCTCACACCTGTCAGAATGGCTATCATCAACAAATCAATAAACGACAAGTGTTGGTGAGGTTGAGAAGAAAAGGGAACCCTCGTTCCCTGCTGGTGGGAATGCAGACTGGTGCAACTACTGTGGAGAATAGTGTGGAGCTACCTCAAAAAACTGAAAATGGAACTCCCATTTGACCCAGTAATCCCACTCCTGGGACTATATCCTAAGAAACTAGAAATACCAATCAAAAAGGATATATGCACCCCTATATTTATAGCAGCACAATTTAAAATATCTAGGATTTGGAAACAGCAAATGATTGGATCAGAAAACTATGGTACATCTACACAATGGAATACTATGCTGCCATAAAAAAAGAAGAAATTCTTGCTGAATCCACTATGGCTCAGTGGATAGAGCATTGGCCTGCCGACTGAAGGGTGCTGGGTTCAATTCCGGTCAAGGGCATGTACCTTGGTTGCGGGCACATTCCCAGTGGGGGTGTGCAGGAGGCAGCTGATCGATGATTCTCTCTCATCGATGTTTCTGACTATTCCTCTCTCTTCCTCTCTGTAAAAAATCAATAAAATATATATTTAAAAAAAAGAAGTAATTTTTATCATTTGCAGCAACCTGGATGGAATTGGAGAACATTATGCTGAGTGAAATAAGCCA